CTTTCTGCCCCATCTCCTTGCAGAGATGTGGAAGGGGCAGTGCTCCGCAGCGCAGCCCTGTGCCAGAATCAGGCCCTAGTGGAGAGGTTGTACTTCCCCCATCTTAGGAGGATTCAAGTGCTATTTTCTGCAGAAGATCCCTGGGCACCCAGGGGACAACAGGGCTGTGCTTGTCACAGACATGTCACAGCAGGAGAGCGTTCCTCCTGCTAGCATATATCAAGGGATGTAGCTCAGTGGCAGAGACCCTGCTCTGTGTGTGGAAGGTCCTGTGTTTGATCTCCTGCATCTCCAAGGGTGTTTTTTTCCCTGAGTCCCCAGCCTCAGGTGGGTGGAGGCTGGAGATGGAGCGCTGCCCTCTCCAGGCACTGTGGGCCTGCCCTGCCCACCCAGGGCCTGGCTGTGAGGAGGTGAGGAGGGCTGTGCTTCTTTTGAGCCCACTCTCAGAAGAGAGGCAGGCAGCTGTGATGGACCTGAGCTCAGGTCACTGCCCTGCACCCCAGACCCACCCACCCACCACCCAGGGACAGTGCTTGGCAGCAGAGTGCCTGGAGGGAGATCACAGGGAAGGAAAGGGAAAGACATCAGCAGCACACTAGGAATCCTTTCTGGCTGCACTGAGACATGTGATGTGAAGGTGCTGGTCCATCCCAGGTGCCCTTTGGGACCAGAGCCACACTGCCCTGGTGGCTTTCTGGGACTAAGGGTCTGAGATTGTCCTGTCTCCAGTATGGAGAACCCATACCACATGGGAAGTACCCAGCTGTGTCAGCAGGTAGGAATGTCTGAACTGGGCAAACCTGGACAGCCCTGTGGGACTTCCAGATGGAGGAATGACATTTCTTACCCTGACCCTGTCTCCAGTTCCTTTTCCATTTGCCACCCCCACCAGCCTGAACAGAGCCTCTGCTCAGGGAACCTGGAGCAGCTGAGGTCAGGCACAGCCTTGCAGGGGTGGGACTGATGGGGCCAGCACCCACCTCTTGTTCCTGGTATGTTTGGTGTCTTTGTCCACCCCATGCTTGTGGCAACAGGGAGGCATAGGCCTGTCAAAAGCCACACACAGGTGAGGCGGGTCAGGAGATGGTCCTTCCTGGCAAAACCTCCTCCTTCCTCCTTCTCCTCCTCCTGGTGGAGATGCGGCTCAGGCCCTGTGTGTGTGTGTGAGGGGGCAGCACACTTGAGCCGAAAGAGCCCGTTTCATGGCATTTTGGGGCCTGAACAGTCTAGCCCTGCAGGCTGGGTCCATTCTCCAGAGCAATGCAGCATCATCACTGTGTCCCAGATATGTGCTTCCTCTGGCAGCTTTCGAGGACCTACCCAAAGGGCCTGATGGTGAGACCCCCAACTCTCTGCAATGCTGCCCCACACTGGGCAGAGCATGACTGTGGCAAGCCCATGGGAGAGCAGCGTTCCCAGGGTGAGACACCCAAGGTAATGGGTGTCATCCATGGGCACTGGAAACACAGGTTCCATCCCTCAGGCATCTCCTCCTGGGACAGGCTCCAGCCCTGAATCTCCCCAGGAAGAGATGGGTCCAGGGCTGGGGAGAGAGGGGCTGTCTCTGGGGCCAGGGGCTGCCATCAGGAAAGCTCTAGGGACCAGGGCAGAGGGGGGGTGTGTTCCTAGGCTCCCCCTGCCCTTCCCAGGATCACCCCAGGGGTGAAGGAGCTCCCAGCAAGGAATGGGCCAATGCTGCTGTGGCAGAGGCTGTTGGCCTCCTCCTCTCCTTTGCTCCAGGGCCAGATGCTGCTGGTGGCAGCGCTGCCCAGCTGCAGTTGCTTCCCACAGGGAGCCCTGCCATGGACACCCAACACACTGTCCAGCCTGCAGAAGACGAATCCATCAGGGATAAGCTGGAGGGGTGTGGAGACCCACCAGTGGGAGCAGGGAGGGCACTTTGGGCTCCTGGGTCCTGCCCCAGTGACAAAGCCTTCTCCCTGCCTGGCTGAAAGGTTTCTCTGCCCATGGGAGCTGGGGCAGGCAAAGGTCCCAGCCAAGAGAGAGGGACCCTGGCTCAGCTCCCCGCAGTGCCTGCTTTAGGGCAGGGACACAGAATGCCCTCTGCTATGGAGGTGGGCCCACGTGAGCCTTCTCCCAGACAGGCCCTTCTCCAGGCCAGGTGCTGGATGATGGCTTTGGGCTGCAATCCATGTCTCTTGGGGATCCTTTCTCCGTCCCCTGGGCTCTCCCTCCTCTGCCTCCCACAGTGATGAGGCAAAGGTCCCCCCACTCCCACCCCCTGCACCTGCACACAGGTCCTGCCCCATCAAAAACCCAGACTGACACCCCTGGCCAGGTAGCAGGAGGGCAGGGCTGGGGGCTGGAGTGCGGCAGGAGGATGGACTCCCAGGGCTGCCATGGGACCTGACAGCCCCTGCCCAGGAAGGAGGCAGCTCTGGGGCTGGGACAGGAGTGCTCAGGCTCTGGGAGGGCCCAAGGCAGCAGGAACAACACATGGAGTCTGGGGTCCTGTCAGAGCCAGCCGAAGGACAATGCCAGCCCTGTGTGCCCCAGCTGCTCCCAACGCTGTGGGAGGTGATCTGCCAGCTGTGACTACCCCCTGGGGCTGGCTGGGGAGTCCAGGGCACCGCAGCCACCTTAGGGCTAACTGCTGTGAGGCCACAGCCCTGGGCTCACCCCAAACAGTAGCCCTGTTGTGGGCTCCAGCTTGAACCAGGCAGGGCCTGGGGGAAAAACCAACTAAGGAACCCTAGGGTGAAGAGATGGGCACTCATGGGACCTTGCCGAGAACAAGTTTTTGCTGGAAACTGTGGCTGGCAGGATGGAAATGTCTCTCTCATCAGGAATATTCCCCAGGGACCATGGGCTCTCACAGCCCCACAATCTGACCCTGAGACTGCTGTCCCCAAGACATTTCCCTTCCCCACCACCATGGCTTTGTTCTCTGCTCCTCCCCATCATCCTCAAGGAGACACCCTGACACCTGGGCAGGCAAGCACCAGCTACGGCTCAAACCCACAAAGGCTTTTAATAAGAACAAAGATGGCAGCACAATGCAAACCCAGGGGAATCAAAATGGAGGAAATGCCAGGCTGTTTGTGCTGCCCATGGGAGAAGGGAGAGGGTTCCCTGGTGCTCAGGGCTCTCCCAGCTGCACAGCCCTCTCCTCCCTCCTGGCTGCCCCCAGCTGCACAGCAGGGCTGGGCTGTCCTGTCCTGGGGCTCCGGGACTGGTGTGCGCTGAGCTCCAGTGTCCCAGCCTTTGTGTCCTCTGGGGGATGTGCCAGAGATACCTCTTCAGCATCGTCATAGCCTGTGCTCTCTGGGGACAGACACCAGGCATCTCCCTCATCCCCAGGGCCCCCAGCACTTCTCTGGGAGTGCAGGTTTGCCCCTGCAAGCAGCAAGGCAGGCCATGGCACGTTCACCCCAAGGGGTGCCCCTCCTGCTCTGTACATCACCCTCCTCCCTTCCCTCACCAGTCCTGACTTGGTCAGCTCCCTCTCCCACCCCCAGACCCCCAGGAAAAACTCCTGGGGCATGTTGCTCCACCCTAGGAGGTTGGGCCCTCAGGACAGCAGTGATTCATCCCACACCAGGGATGGCACCTCATAAACCAGCAGCACCATCCCTCCGGGGCCATTCCTGGCTCCTGCTGCCTCTTCTGATGCCCTGGGCATTTCGAAGTCTCCCTGCCCAGAGGCAGGATCCTTGCCAGGCTCAGAAACCTCCCTGGCATCATCATAGCCATCCGCTGGGTCACCCCTGGGCAGGACAGGGAAATCTGAAAGGAGACGGGAGCTGATGACACTGATAAATTACATTGGCAGAGCAGAGTTTGGGTGGATGTGCAGGGACATGGGGCTCAGACACTGGTGTTGGCAGCAGCACAGGAGACCCCCTGCTGTATCCTCCGCACCTCCGATGGTGGCACTCAGTGCCACCACTGTTCTCCACATGCCTGCAGGGAGGAGAGAGAGACTCCTTCCCATGCCCTATTACCTGGTGCTGGTCCCGGACCATCCTCCTCCTTGCTGTCCCCAGGGCAGGGCTGCAGCTTGGTCAGGGTTCCCTCAGAACAGGAGCCTGGTGGGAGGCGCAGCAGGTGTTATGGGAGTGCGCTCTGCTAAGAAGGCTTGTGGTCAGTGCTGCTGGGGACGGGGGACCCACAGAGCCAGAGCTGAGTGGGGAGGAGGGCTCAGGATTCAGCCTGCTCCCCTGGGACAAACTCTGTCTCCCAAGGGCTCCCAGAACTGCCATGGGACAGCTCTTTTCCTAACCCTTCAGGTGCCACCCAGGAGTGCAGGGACAGACCAGAGAGGGGCTGGGATGGGAAGAAGTGGTGGGGAGGAAGCTCCTCTCTTGGGCCCAGGACCTGGCTGCTCTCCCCACAGCCCCAGCGCTGCAGGGAGCATGGGCCAGGGGACTGCAGGGGCTCAGCCATGGGTGGGGGTGAGGGGGAAGAGCCTGGCACATGTGCCCCCCACGAGGGACCCACACTCACCTGAGCCACTGAACCTTTCCTGCTTCCCCCATGCCGGGCTGTACCTGATCTCCTCATAGACGGCTTCAGGGAAGGGCTCCCAGTCTCTCCCAGAGCCTGTGGACAGGGGCAGGGCTGGCACAGAGTCAAGCAGAGAGGGGACAGGATCCCGCTCTGCTGCCCCAGCTTTGCCCCCCTGTCTGGTCCCCGCTCCCACTGCCTCCGTGAGGGCAATGTCCCCATGGAGATGGTCTGGGGCTGCGAGACCCTGGCACTGTCCCCTCAGAAACAGCCCCCGTGCCCCTCTGGCCCCTGGGTCAGGTCCCTCGTGCTGAGCCGGGAGCAGATCCCACCTTTCCTCTCCCCCTGCAGCTGCCCCCTCTCTTCCCCAGGCATCCATAACATGGCCCCTGCCCTCCTGGGGGGAGCTCAGGCTTGGACAGAAGAACATCCTGGGGGCCTGAAACCATGGGCAAGGACCCTGCTGCCCCACACTCCTCCTCCTGGCATCTCCCCTGACCCAGACCCACCTCCAGAGCTGCCCGAGTGCTGCTGGGTGATGTCCTCGTCTGTCTCCCCTCAGCTCCCATCTCCCCCAGCCCAGCTCTGCCATTTCTCTCCTTGCCCTGGCCCTATCTCCCGCCAGGCCTGGACTCTCTCCTCCCTTTGCTGCTGGTGGCCTGTGGTCAGGCAGTCAATGAGGCGGGACAGGGGACAGCAGGCAGCACACACTCTTGTCCCCCCAGCTCTGCCTCGGCCACTCCTTGACACGTCACAGCAGCCCTGGCCTTGACAGGAGACATCTTTCTCCGGGACCCACCTCTGTGCCCAGCCCTGGCGCTTCGCACTTGCCCGGACAGGAGGGCCAGGAGAAGGCAGACAAGGGCCCCCAGGATGATGCACATGATGATGGGCAGTGAGAGTCTCCCGCTGCCAGTTGTACGGCCCCGTGTGGGATCTGCATGGCAGGAGCACAGAAAGGGCAGCAGAAGGCCTGGCAGAAGTGTGGGGCTGGGACGCCCCAGTCCTGACCCCCATTACCCCAGGGGGCAGGGGACCCCAGGGGCTGAGTGATGAGGAAGCTCCCACCTTGCTGGAAGAATGACAGCCCTCCCCAGTGCTCCCCCCACTGCAATCCCAGTGCCCCCTCCTGGGAGTTTCACACCCTGGCCCGGAGCCCCTTCTCTCCAGTTCTGGGTCACTGCTGGCCCCAAGAAGACCCAGCGCTGGTGGGGAGGACAGGTTACCTTCTTGGGGATTTGTCCTTCCATTCTCCTCCTTCTGCAGAATTTTCTCCAGGGTTTCTCCAGGGAGAAATTCACCCTGCTTCTGCCATGGGGTCCCCTGCTTTGAATGGCCATGGCACACCCAAGGGGCAAATGGAGTTCACCCAGCGTTTTCCCAGCACTCACCTGAGCAAATGACAGCAGCATTGTTCTCATGGGAGCACGGCGAGGCCCCCAGGGCTGTCATGGGGCACTGTCCCAGGTGGGTTTCAGTCCCATCACAGTGAAATGAGTCTCTCCAGACAGGTCCTATTCCTCTCCCAAAATGCCCTCCTCTGGGAATGGACTCAGCAAAGCCGCAGTTGAGGTGATGACAGAGAACGTGCGCATCTGAGAGATCCCAGTGGGAGGCACAGAGGGTGCCCCAGGTCCCCAGCACCTCGACCTCCACCCTCCCCTCACATGCCGTGCTGCCATTCACCAGCCTGAACCCTGTGTACTCTGGGGACAGAGAAGGATGAGAAAGCGTGGACTTGTGCTCTCCCTCCCTTGGGAGCTGAAGGAGAGGCCAAAAGGGTGAGAGCCGGCCATTCTCCTCCTTCTGCACCATTTGAAGGCTGCAGACAACCACATCACCCCTTCTGTCCTCACACCCAGCACAGCACACCCCTGCCCTTCTTCCCTTGTCCCCAGCATACCCCTTGTGTCTACCACCACACCCAGAGTCCTTACGTGTGCAGGTGACACTGACAGCATTCGCACGCGTGCAAGGCTGGTCTCTGGGGGATCCCCTTGGGCAGAACATTAGGAAGGATTCATTCCCCGCACACTGCAGCTCTCTGTCCCAGATGGGACCAACCCCTTCTCCAAAGGGAGCTGCCCCACGGACGAACAGGGCTGCGCCACACTGCAGGTCCCTGCAGACGACGTTGGCAGCTTTGGGACCAAAGTCTGAGTCACAGACAGTTTTCCACTGGTCCCCATCATGGATCTCCACACGTCCTGAGCAACGGCTGTCCCCTCCGACCAGCTGGACAAATCCTGAAGAACCAAAGACCCCTGTGAGTTCCCAGAGCCTTCTGGCAGTGCCCTGACTACATCCCACATCATCCCCAAGAAGGCCATCGGCAAAGAGCCCCACAAGCACCCCAGCAGCTCCCAATGGCACAAACACACTAGGGACCCCCTGTTGCTCCTCTTGCATCATCACAGCACTTTGGGGTTTGCTTCTCTCCCAAATCCTAGGCCCAGGCCCTGCTCAGACAAAGTGCTGCCATCCTGGAGAGACAGCCTGGGCTTCCTGGCACCAGCCACAGGCACAGCACCACCCAGGCCAGAGGGATACTGGCCCAGGCACTGTTGGCTCCTGCAGCCTGCTCTGCCTGCTGAGCTCAGGGCCAGGCCAAGGGACCCCTGGGGACTTCCAGAACCATAGCCTGCTCTCCAGGTAGTCTGGGGCTGGTGGGACGCTGCTGTTAAGTGGAACACATCCCAGGGTATGGGCATGGCACAGCTCTATCTACAGTGGGAGTCTGTAGCAGCCCCCCCAGTCTGGCACCTGAACGGGGAGGTGGTCTTCAGCTGGGGCCAGAGTGCACTGCCAGGCATGCCCATCCCCATGAAGGGCCAGGCCGAGGGCAGGGGAGCAGGCAGAGGAGCAGCCCTGGTCTGACACCAGCTCCCAGTGCAAGGACAGGAAGCAAGGACAGGGCGAGGGCTGGCAAAGCCCCCATGGCACAGGGCAGCCAGGGGCTGGGGTAGGCAGGAGAGGCTGGGCAGTGGCTCAGCACTGACAGCACAGGGCCATGTCCACATGTGCTGGCTCTGGTGGGTGACCCTGGCAGAGGAATGGGGGGCTGTGTGCCACCCTGCTCCTCTGCCCACGGCCAGTGCTTTTCCCCTTTCAGCAGTCTCTGTGCTGAGGCTGAGGGACTCCTGCCTGCCAGGTGGCACCACCCAAATATCCCCAGCCACTCTGCGCCCTTCCCTGGGGCTGTGGGTGCCCACGTGAGCAGCTCTCAGTGCCTCTGGAGTGGTGGGACCTGGCTCCTGGCAATGACAGGCAGGCCCTGCCTGAATGGGATGAGAAAGATGGGAGCCAAGAGAGACCAAGGGTCAGGGAGGGGCTTTCATCTGAGCCCCAGGCACCAAGGGAGGGTCGGCTGAGCCACCACAAGGGCCAGGAAGTGTGTACACACCCAGGGTGGGCTCTCACGGGGCTTTCCTCAGAGACTGTGAAACCAGCAACAGATGTCCCAGCTCAGCAGTGCAACCAGCCACCCTGGGCCCTGCTCTGGCTTCCGCTTATTGCTTCCTGAGAGCACAGCCAGTTCCCTCCCCACACCCTGGACTCAAAGGTGGGGAATGGGCTGACCCTTACCTGAACACTTCACTCCAGCATCAAATCTGTGATCCCATGTGTATTTACCCCATCCACCGTGTGCACAGTCAGACAGGGCAGACTCGGTGCCACGACAGCCAGCATCAGACAGCCATGTGCGGCCAGATCCTGACCCAAAGTGTCCGTACTGAGGAGCTTCAAGAGCAGACCCACAGCCCAGCTGCTTACAAACCACTGCAGCATCTTCCATGTTCCAGTAGCCACCAAATACGGTCCCCCACTGGTCCTCATGTTTCACCTCCACTCTCCCAGCACAGCGCCCACCGCCATCCTTCAGCCTCACCTCCATAGATCCTTCAAACAGCAACACAGGACCAGTTAGGAGCATGCCGAGCACCAGCCTGCAGGCCTGGGAGTCGAGTCACAGCACCAGGGTGGGAGCCCTCTCCTCTCTGAGTTGTCCCTGGGGAAGTGTGGTGGTCTGTCCTTTCCCCAGGGGCTGTGCAGGTTTGGGATGCCAACTCTGGCCCTGCTGGGCCATTCACCACCTGACAGGCATTGGCACCTCCTCCCACTCCAACCGCTTCTGCCCATGCCCACCCACACACCAGGCCCCCAGGCCATGCACAGGGCACCATCTCCTCCCCAGGCAAGTGCACCCTGGAAAGCACCAGGCCCTCAGCGTCCATCCAACCCATGTCCCCTCCTGCGCCTCAGGCACCTGCCCAGCCCCTCTGCTTGACCAGGGCCCCCAGAAAGGAAACTTCTCTGCCACCTGTGGGTGCAGACAGCTCAGTCCCTTTCTCTCTGTGGGGCACCAACTGCCTTCCTGGGGTCGGGGGGACCCTGGATCCTGGGGCACTGAGCAGCACACAAACCCACCAGGGCACCCTGGACATTGCCTCTGCCCTGGCCATCGCTGAGTGCTGCCGTCACCACTTGGGCCACTGCCCACCTCAGGGGCACACAACTGGGGAACAATAGCTGCTAAAAGGGTACCCCAGGGTGGCGGTGTCTAGAAATGCAGCCAGAAATGCTGCCTTAAACACAGAGATGCATGGGGAAGGGCAGAAGATCCATGGAGCTGAGCACCTTCTGAGCCTCATCGCAGTGGAACCTGGAAAGAAACCCCAAGGGATCCCAATGACCCCACTGGAACTCACTGGCCCTGGGCTGTGAGAGAAGGGAATCGGCACTTACCCCTGCACAGCTGCACCCAGAGGAGCAGCCACAGTGCTCGAGGGGACAGGAGCCCCTCCAGCCCCATCCTGAGTCTCCGTCCCTGCTGGCACAGCCCTGCTGCGCCCCAGTCTCTGCCACGGCTCCTGGGCAGTGATGGGAACAACGCCGATGGGAGGGTAATATACCTCTGCAGATGCCAAGCCAGCTGCAGGAGCCAATCGAAGCAGCAGCACCTTCTTGGTCGTTATCAGGAGCCATCTCCCCTCTGGCAGAGCCCAGCCCTCCAATGAACATCTCCAGCGCTGTTCATGACCATATATGAGGCATATAGATCATATAGATGTCCTGCTGTGGGTGTCACGGTCACTGCAGTGGGGGATTGTCACAGGAAAAGCCAAGTGTGGAGAGGAAATGGGTCTGTCAGCCCTTGCACCCTGCTGCAGGGACTGGGAGCGCTGAGCATCTTCTGCAGTGGGCGCATCCAAGAACACAAGGTGTGAGTGTCCAGCCAGCAGCGAGGCGTGGGAAGGAAGGAGCTGGGGCTGCCCCGGGGTCTGTGTCAGGATGGGAAGAACACAGCCCCTGGCCCTGCTAGAGACCCCACTGTGCCGGGAGCAGCACCTGGGAAAGCTCCCTGGCCAGGGGAAGAGCTCCATCCTAGGAGTGCTGTCTGGCCCCTCCATCCCTGGAGAGCCCGCCAGGGGGTCCCTCGCAGGATCCAGAGCTGCGACATGTCCCTGTTCTGGCAGCAGACATACAGCCCAGAGGCTCAGACGTCTCCCTGACTCTTAGCCTCTCACCCAGGGGCCATTATTCCCCACGGGCGCATCGGGAGCTGGAGCCTGCAGGTGCACAAACCACAGACCACGTGACCTGTCAGCACTCGCTGCGCTCCCCCCGCCGTGCCCGGGCAGGCACTCTGTGGTTTCCTCCTGGCACCGCGCCCAGGCACATCCCTGCCATGCCCCCAAGCCACCCCCACCCCCACTGCTCCAGCCAGACCTGCAGGGGCTGCTCCTTCAGCCTCACAGTCACAGGGACGAGCACCTCCCATCCCCCACCATGCCCCTCGGATGCACATGGCCACTCTACACCCAGCCCCACAGCCACATGGTGACGTCGCTGACGTGACCTCACACCTTCCTCATGCCATAGCTGTGACTGTGAGTTATACTGACAGGGACCTCACACCCTCCTGCAGACACCACTGGGTGCTCAGGAGCTACAGTGACGGTGACCTCACACCTCTCCTACTGCCATCGCTCTCTGCTCAGAACTCACACTATCACACGGGTGTGTGTCTGTGCTGTGTATGGGCTTCTGCTGCTGCTGCTTCTTCTAAAAACCCATACTTGGGTGGGGTCTAAATATCCTTTTGATGACATCAGAGCACCCATGCAAGCCATGTCCCTGCTCTTGTCCTAGAAGCTATTCTGGCACCCATGAAGTCACAAGCTCGTACACAAGCCATGTGCATACTCCTGGCCAATCCCCCACTCAGCCACATGTGATATCACAACATCTAAACCTGCCATGGGCCTGCTTCTGGCCTATCAGGTATTGGGACACCAATGACCGAACACCTCCCCAAACACCTACACAAGCTGTTGTTCTACTCCTAACCTATCCTCTACTCAGGCACCAGTGACACCACAACAACCTACACAAGCCATGGCCCTGCTCCTGGCCTATCGGATATTGGGGCAGCAGGGACTTCACAAGCACTTACACAGCCCATGGGCCTCTTCCTGGCTGATGAGCTAATTAGTCACAAATGACCTTGCAGACATCTCTGCAAGAGAGGTGCTTAATCCTTGCCTACCAGCTTCTCAGGCACTAAAAAAAGGTTATATGGCTATCTGTATTTACTTTCTATAGCTTTATAAATGTTTACAGATATATAAAAAATTATGCACAAATACATATATTGAAGTATATCTATTAAAATACTGTACCTATTTAGAAATAAATGAAATACATATTTGTATACTTATTTATACATATATATATATTATATAAACGAATATATTGCTCTTTGTGAGGGCTTCCTGGACCAAAGGAGATGGGCAGACAATTGCAAGTGCTTCCTGAGAACGTGTGAGTATGAAGGTGTCACGAAATGGCTGTCAGCCAATCACAGGGCAGGATGAAAAGACGTGGGGAATGAGGCTATCCAAAGCGGCAGCCTCCCTGTAGGAAATGAGAGGGGGCTTCCTTTGTGACAGGCCCTGGGACATTGGAATGGCAGCCACTCCTGCCAGCCAACCACCGGGGCTGCCTGAGAACAGGCGGGTACAACAGTGTCAAGCAGTGGCCATCAGCCAATCACAGAGCGGGATGATATTTAACAACATGGCAACTCCTGGCCCTGGACTGGCGGCCCCCTGTCACAAAATGGCAGCCCCTGTGTGTGCACTTCCAGGTGGGCTGTGCCCCTGTGTAAAGCCAATCAGAGCAGAGCAGGTCGCTGGGAGAGGAGAGTGACTTCCTGCGGGTGCTGGGAGGGGGCGGGGCTTCCACTGGAAGCGGGTGAGCGGGGCACCTGTCCCCCCCTGCCTCCCCTCGCAGCGATGCCGGTGCTCCTGGCCTCAGCCAGGGCAGGGATCCCAGCAGGAACCGGGAAGGTCCCTGGGCAGGGACAAACCCCCCAGGCAGAGCTGGGCCACCAGAGCTGGGAGAGCCCCCAGGTCCCTCCCATCTCCAGCCCAGCTGGGGGACTCTCTGGCAAAGCACAGGGGGGTTGGGCTGACACGAAACACCGTCCCTGCTGGAGCTGGCGGGGCACTTAGGCTGAGCTTCTCCCCCTGGGAAACCTGCAGCTCCCCTCACTCTGCCTGTGCTCACCACCCGACACCGTCACAGAAAGATCGCTTGCTCTGGGTGGGGGGGACCTTCTGCATGGGCCCTGGTGTGATCAATGGTTTGCTCTCGTGCATGGCCCCCAGCCAAAGCTGTGTGCGGGTGTGTGGAAGGAGAGGGTCTGCTCCTGGAAAGGCATCTGCTCAAGGACCTGTTTCACTGAAACACTGGAGAATAAAATAATGAGGAAAGGAGGAGGCCATAGGCAAGAATCCAGAGGGACACAAACCTGAGCGGCCAATGCTAAGGGAGGCGGTGATGGGAACCAAGCTGGTCAGACACACTCATAGATTAAGGTGGGTGAGAGGGTTTCTTCCAGGTGGGTGATCTGATCGGGGACGTTGTTAATTGGGAAACTGAGAGAAAAGCAGGAAACCAGAAGCAAACTGTATTGAGTCACAGCTTTAACAAAATACATGTGGAGACAATGAGAGGAAAGTGACTTTGCCAGTCACACAGTGGGTGTGCCCTCAAGAAACTACAGGTGCCACTTCTCAGAGGGTCATCTGGACTTTTCAGCTCATATCAGAGAATCAGGGAATGGTTTGGCTTGGAAGGGACCGTAAAGATCATCTCGATCCAACCCCCCCTGCCATGGGACACCTTCCACTAGATCAGGTGGCTCAAGGCCCCATCCAACCTGGCCTGGATCACTTCCAGGGATAGGGCATCCACAACTTCTCTGGGCAATGTGTTCCATTGCCTCAGAACCCTCCAAGTGAAGAATTTCTTCCTTCTACCTAACCTCAACCGACCATCTTTCAGTTTAACGCCATTACCCCTTGGCCTGTTACTCCCTGCCCTTGTAACAAGTCCCTCTCCAGCTTCCTTGTAGGTCCCCTTCAGGTGCTGGGAGGCTGCTATAAGGTGTCTTCACAGCCTTCTCTTCTCCAGGGTGAACAGCCCCAATTCTCCCAGCTTGTCTTCATAGCAGAGGTACTCCAGCCCTCTGATCATCTTCATGGCCCTCGCCTGGACTCAGTCCAGCAGGTCCATGTCCTTCTTATGTTGGGTGTCCCAGAGGTGAACACAGAACTGCAGGTGGGGTCTCATGAGAGCCGAGTAATGGGGCAGAATCCCCTCCCTTGACCTGCTGGCCGTGCTTCTTGAGATGCAGCCCAGGGTACGCTTGTCTTCCTCGGCTGCAAGTGCACCTTGCTGGTTCATGTTGAGCTTCTCATCAACCCCTCAAATCCTTCCCCTTGGGGCTGCTCTCAATCCATTCTCCACCCAGCCTGTATTGATACGGGGGATTGCCCTGACCCATGTGCAGGACCTTGCACTTGGTCTTTTTGACCTTCAGGAGATTCACACAGGCTCAGCTCTCAAGCCTGTTAAGACCTCTCT